CCCGGGCTTGTGTGTTTACTTAAAACCCTGGGGTTGCCGGTTACAGTATAAGCCGGGCCCCAGACAGATGGGCTGTAGGTCTAAGATTCCATGGAGGAATCCTGCATTTTAAACAAGTATCGCAGAGGCTTCAGATACTGGCTAGACTTTGCAGGCTGGCTAGTGAGAAGCACTGATTTAGGTCAGTGGGAAGGAAGAGGGAAGATGCCCAGGCAGAAACCAGGAAAGCGTGCTGTACCAGAAGACCCTGGGCCACACCCAGCCCACTCTGACAGAGCCCGAAGCTCTGGTTCAAAGACAAGGCACAGCAGGTAACTCGGGCCCCACCCAGTGGCCTGGGTACCATCACCAAAGGCCTTTCAGGTAATTGCGGGAAGCCTCATTCTCTGCATTTCACTTTTCATTTCTTTTTTACTTATCTCCTACAATTCTAATATACTACCATCCCCCGTTACGTTCTTCTCCCTCTTTCCTCTCTTTCAGGGGACTCTGGGGAGCTCCTGCTTTGCTCCAGCACTCTGGGGCATTTTGTGGCAATTTGATGACGAGGACTGTGCCCTCAGAAAGTCTACCCACGGCCGGCCCAGCCCCATCAGCTCCCGTAACAAGGAAGCTGCCGCTGACCCTGTCCACTCGGGCTGAGCCACCCTGGCCTGCCCTCAGGAGGCAACTTGCACCCACCTGTGTGGCCTTGGGTGGCGTGTGGCTCTGTGCCTCAGTTTCCTCATCTGCAAACAGGGTGACGAGAAAATGAGTGTGCATGGAGCACGTACTATGTGCCAGCTCTGTTCTAAGTGCCTTCTGTGTAGGCTCAGTCCTTACACTGTCCCTACCCTATGGCACAGACATCTCATTGTACAGATGTGGACATTGAGACACAAAAACTGCAGAGAAACTGGCCCCAGGCTGTTAACAGCTGACAGGTGCTAGAACTCACAGTCTGGCTTCAAAGCCCAGGTTCATAATCACCATATGACATCAGTTCTATCACTTACACTTCACACAGTGAGTGGAGAGTTAAAAATGAGCCACTTGGAACACCACTTGTGCATAATAAATACACACAAAAATGGCAGCAATTATTGTCGTTGTCATGGTCCGCCTAACCCTCTTTTTCTGCCATAGCAGGGTTTTCAGCCTGCATGAGCCAGGGAAGTGCACCCACTCTTGGTTACATCTCCGTGGGGGTGGTCAGAAGTGCTCAGAACTGTGTGTGACGGTGCCTGAGCGAGCGATTCCCTATTCCCAGCTCTGCTGTGCTTATGACAAAACAGCAAACCTAGGACCACACTTTTCACATCTCCAAGTCCTTGGCTGTTTGAGCAGATAGAAAGCTCATCCGCCCACTTAGAGAGAACACTGATGTCCGGCGCCCACTTTCTCCAGGCACAGGGCTGATGGGTGGGGGGTGTAGAGGGGTCCTTCTCAGCCTGCACGTGGGGACTTGGGCTTTTGGAAGAGCCCTGGGAGGCGCTGTGACCACTCTAGGCAGGAGCTGTCTGCTTCCTGTTAGGAACTCCGAGAACTCTATTCTTAGGGTGCTTTCTCTTGCCTTTAACTTTGACATCTTCCAGAAGTTACCTTGTACTAAAGCAACACTGCTGTGGCTATAATTTACACATCACGTCACTTGCACAGAGCATAGTCCACCCGCTTCAACCCACTCCTGCCAGCCCTGCAAAAATGGCTTCTGCATCCTTCCAACCACCATCCTTCCACTCACTCCTCCAGAGAGAAAGGTGAGATATGAATGGTCAACAGCAGAGGGGGGCCCAGGAGGTAACTTCGGCTACATCTAAGCTTTGGGACTTCCCAGATTCCAGGATGGGCCTCTCCACTCAGTCCGCGTTGTCATGGCAACAGCTGTGGCCCAAAGCCCCAGCTAGCCGCCCAACCTGTGAGCGCTCCATGGGAGCCACTTACCGTGATGGTGTTTTCCTTGCTGTGCTTTTTGCCTGGTGACGAGGAACCCAGGTTCTGGGGAGAGAGACAAGAAGCATTATCAAAGCTGTTTTCCATATTGGACACCCTTTTTTCATTCGGGTTCCCTGAAGGGGGTGGGATTGGTTACAAACAGCGTGCTGAGGAAGCTGGGGCAGCTCAGCCTGCCGTTAACTCTTAAGTCACCATATTCTGGGCAAGGGCAGGCAGGAGTATTCCTGACCCCACGCTGCTCCTGTGCTGGGCTTGAAGGCGGAGCAGGGGAAGCCTCCAGCACAGGCTCTGAGGGAACTGCTCCAAACCAGGCCGGCCTCCTCTCCCCCAGTCTGCCATATGGGAGTTAACCCCTCAGCCGCCCTCTGCTGGTAAGCGGCTCGCGTGCTGCGTGCTGCCTGAACCTGCAGAATCCACTGGGGAGCAGAGAGTTAAGGCAGATGGCAGGCCACCACCTCCTGGCACTGAAGATTCAGAACATGACATCTTAATCTGAACCCTTGGGTCAGACACATCAAACCCTCTATGCATGTCATGTGCACTGGGGCACTCAGCCACCTCCGTGCCTCGCTGCTCTCCAACCCCGAAAGCAGGGAGGGATTTCTCAGCCGAGAGTCGTGTTTCAGCTTTCATTCAGACATGGGATTGCCTTTGTATGTCTTCCTGTTGCTGGCAAGAAAACCACTGTTCCAAAGACTTTTGAGCCCACGGGTTCTCAGGAGTTTGCTCCAGTCCAAGGATGGTTCTGGCACAGAAAATTAGGGATGGCCAGCTGAAAATGCCACATTGGTCATAAGAGCCTATGAACCTAAAGGGGAGGGTCAATTCTGGTCTCCGTTGTCCCACTATTAGCAGTTACATTAGGAATTCAATAGGGTCCCCAGGCAGGACGGGTGATGTCTACTCCTGTCCGGAGCTACACATCAGCTGGGAAGCAAGTTTACCCCTAAAGCACTGTGTGTGGCTAGTGTGCGTCCTTATTCTTTTCTAGGGGAATGTGAGGAAGTAGCTGTCAAGACTTTACAGATAAAAGCCCAGGAAAAGCATACAGGGTCTTCTCCAGCCAACCTCAGGGACCTAGCAGCTCCCCTGCTATCCCCGGCCCAGCACAGCCCTGTTCCACTGGGCAGGAAAAATTATCCGGGGGTGGGGTCAGCCCCATGTGCTAATCCAGCAACCCTTGGAGCTTGACTGAGTGCCTGCTGCGGTCTCTTCATGCCCTTCTTCCCATCTAGACCTCCTTTGGCTGGTAAGTAAAGTCAACTAATGAAAACCGATATTCTAAGAGCTCTAGATAAAAAGGACTCATAGATCATCCACGTCACAGACAAGAAAATGAACTCACTCGCCCTGACATCGTGCCAAGTAATATGACTCCTTTGAGTCTCATTTTCACTATCTGTTACTAACGGTCCTCAAGTTTTGGAGTGCATCAGAGTTAACTGAGAAATGTGCCCCAAATCGAGTCCAGGTAGCACCTCCCAGAGCTTCTGATCTAGCAGGCCTCAGGGGGGCTAGTGCCTCTGATTGAGTCTGGGGACCTCCCTTGGAGACACACTGATCTATGTTCTGTCATTTCAAGGCTTCCTACATCTGGCAGCTCCTTTAGCAGCCCTAACAGGATCCGGGGCAACGGTCATGATTGTGACCAATTACCGCTGCTGTAGGTGTTTTTAATGAATCAACTCATCCAGCTTACCCTACACTGGACCCACCCAAGTTATCAGTTCTGCCCCAGGGCACCTGCCAAAATCAGGCCGCCCTGAAGGAAAGCAGAGAGAGGCTGCTTGGCATGAATCCAGGTGCCACTCTCCAAGGAGAAGGGACAGGTGCAGAGCTCCCTCGAAGGTTCATTCACTGGCCAAGCAAATACAGCTGACCCTTGAACAACATGGACTTGAACTGCACTGGGTCCACTTATACATGGATTTTTTTCAATAGACGTACAGTCAGCCCTCTGCATCCTAGGTTTCACATCCTAGGATTCAACCACCAGTGGATTAAAAACAGTGTATACCGAGGGAGTATAGTGAAGCTTGGGGGAGTCAAAAGTCATCGGTGCATTTGACTGCACAGGGGGTCGGCACCCTTATTCCCCACTTTGTTCAAGGGTCAACTATACAAGCCTGGGAGAGAGAAGGGGGAAGAGAGTCTCTGGGAAGGACTCTGCAGTTTGCAGGAGTCTCCCTGTCATTGACACGCATCACCACCACCACCGCGCGCCCACTTCGGCCCATCAGGAAGGGCAACCAGTGCTCCAGCACCTGTGGTGAGAGCCGACAACTTTATGTCAACGCTGCAGCTGCGGATGATGAGAAGGATGAGGAGGATAACTACAGGAAGGAGGGAGCTCTGTGAGAGTTCCTGGGTGCTTTTGCTTATGTAGCAGACACCAGGGTAGGCATTTGACATCATCTCATTTAATCCTCAAAACCCTAGCAAGGTCAGTGGCATCCTCTCCATTTTACAGATGGTGAAACTGAAGCTGGCAGAAACCAACTCATTTGTCCAGGGTCACAAGGCAATTAAAGAGAGGATATTGGAACCCATGCCGGAATAACTCTTCTCTATCTTCCGCCACCTCTCTACTTTGAGACCTGGGACAATCTCTTATTGTCCAGGTGTCTCTGCAGGGGCCAAAAAAGATCTCCATCATCCACAAACACTGATTTTGGAATCGCTGTGTCCAAGGCTCTGTGGAATGAGGCTGGACCCAGGGTTTAGCCTCCTCCCTAAAATGTGGGTCAGGATAGGGTTGCAAGTAACGGCACTGCAGGAGAGTAGGGTAAGTGTGGGTATCAGTCCTTCCTATCTCTGCCCTACTAGCTGTGCAGTTTCAGCCAGTGCTGAGCGGGGGGATCACAGGCTCTCTGAGGTGGTCTCGGGCTCTGCATTTGCTACTGATGACCTGTGCCTATTGTTCCAAAGTCATACACATAAACATATCAACATGATATATGCATGCATCATACACATATATATGCAGCATACACACACACACACACACACACACACACACACACACACACACACACACATAGCACTCCACTGAAAGGGCCCAGATGGAATGACACCTCAGTCACAGTAAGAATACCTACTAGCTAGAAGTTGGTTTGTAAATGCTATTTCCTATTAAAAGGAACTCAGGCTCCTTGGAGAAACGGCTAATTCCAAATGTCTGGTGAACCCAGAACATTATTGTGCTGGGGGGTAAGAAAGTGTTGAGAAAAAATGATGTGATATAACAAAAGGACACAGAAGCTCCCACAGGACAAATCTGGGACGATTTGAGCATGAATATGAAAAATGACTACACATGATTAACTCCAAAAGTGGTGGTGGGGAGGACAGCACTTCTTTACAGAAAAAAGCCAATTAAAAATGTGTATGGAATTAGAACATCACCATTTGCCAACCCCAACGTCAAAATGGATTCAGGCCACGATCCTCAAGGATGCTCAAAGCGCTGAGTGAAAAATACTGTTAAGGTAAAACCACACACGTATCCTGTTCCCTATCTTCCTACAGATTACTGAAAAATTAAAAAGGGAAAAGGTACCCCTAGTAAAGGAGAAATCCTGTTGTCACCACATTAACTGAGATCTCAGACCCAGCATCACCCAGCAGCGTGGTAACCTGGGAGTGTGCATCTCCAGACATACATAATGAAAAGTACTCAACAGGCCCCAGGTGGTGTTCTTGGCAAAACTGCGTAAGCTGCGTCTAAGCATAAGAAAGCAATTAGACCAAGAATGTAGGTCCTTCTACAAGACAACTGACCTGGACTCTTCCCCAAAAAAGTCAATGTGAGGAAAGACAAAAGAACAAAAGTGTAGGAAATATAGCCTCGATTAAAAGAGACTAAAGGGATAATTTAGATGAAACAGTAAATCCATGCAAAGCAATATTATTTGGCTATAAAAAAAAAAGAATGAAGGGCTGATACATGCTACCATATTAATGGACCTTGAAACAGTATGCTAAGTGAAAGAAGCCAGACACAAAAGACCACATATGGTATGATTCCATTTCTATGAAATGTCCAGCAAAGGCAAATGTATAGAGACAAAAAGTACATTAGTGGTTGCCTAAGGCATAGGGGGATTTTTTTTTTTAGGGTGATGAAAATGTTCCAGAACTGACTGTGATGGTGGCACAACTTTGTGATCACACCAAAAACCACGGCGCTGTACAATTTAAATAGGTGAATTATATATTATGTGAATTATATCTCAACAAAGATGTTTAAAGAGGAGAGAGAAACTAAAGAGATACAGCAACCAATGTATCCATATATGAAACTTGAATGGATCCTGGACTGGAGAGAGAAGCAGCTATAAAAAGACATTTTGAGGACAACTGGGAAGTTTGAATATAGATTATATATATGTTAGACGATATTACTGAATTAATGTTTTCTTAAGTGTGCTAATGGTATTGTGGTTATGTCTTCCCCTTTAGAGATACATTAGGAAATGTTTACAGTTAAATGAAGTTAAATGATTGGTCCATGATCCTTTATTATAGCATTTCTTCTACTTTTATAAATGTTTGCAAATATCCAGAATAAAAGTTTCTTTCTTTTTAATTTCTTTTGCCTATGATTTTAAAGTTTTTCTCTTTCCCTTTTTTAAAATGACACCCCAGCCTGGTTTCCTCACCTCGCCTGGGCCTCCCGGGCCACTGTGCTGTCGCTGTGAGGTGAGGACAGATTGACAGAGGCTGGTGTTGATACACGAGGTAGTCCTTGGTAGACTGGGGAGGGGAGGTTGGGGTGGGGAGAGTGGAGGTGGTCCGAGCAGCCCCCGCCCCTCCCCCCGCCCCCCGGATGTCTTCTTTACACTGTTTCCTCGCCCTGTGAATAGCCTGGGTCCCACTTCCTTGGCAGGGTAGATCCAGCATGAAACCTCTCAATGCCTCGCCAGTACCATGAGGACAAAATCCAAGCTCCTTACAACAGGCCTGTGCAGACACCTCCAGCCTCATCTTCCGCCCACCCTACACTTGCTATTTTAGCAAACTATAGCCCCACTGGGGCTCTAATGGGTTCTTTGAAATCACGGCTCTCCTTCTTGCCTCTAGGCAGCCACGTGTGCTGTTCCTCCACCTAGAACTGTTCCCCCCATCTGTTTGCCAAGCCAAACCCCTGCTCATCTTTCCAGTCTTAGTTTATGCATCTTTTCTTAAGGAGTCTGTCCCTGACATTTCCACGACCACTCACCACCACCACCCCACTAGGTCCACGTAGCACACACTTCCTCCAGCTCTTATCACTGCTAAAACGAAGTAATTACCCATCTCATGTCTTTCTCCAGCACTGGCTCTAAACCTCCATGGAGGCAGGACTAGATCTGTCTGTGCCTAAGTGCGAAGAAGGTGCTCAGCAGAACATGTGTTGTTGAATTGGGGTGGGGGGACATTCAGTAAATGAGCTCAGCATTTTCCCATTCTCTACCTCAAACTCCATTCTCCAGGGGGCCCCTTAAGTTTCCAAACCTCAGTCCCATTCCCCTTCCCCTCTCCTGTGTCTTCCTGGGGGGCGGGGAGCTCAAGGGAAGCCAGAACTACTGAAAGGTGGGTCACAAAAGGACTGGGGCACTGGTGGGCAGGTTTCTTATCCCTGTTCGGGGAACAGAGAGGGACCCCACCCCCACCGCGCCAGGCAGGCAGGCAGGCAAGGCAGGGGACAGGCTAGGACTTGCTTCTACAAAGGCCGGCAAGACTCTCTCTCTGCCTGTGATGCCCTTGTCCTCCCAACCAGGTGGGCCCCATTTATCCAGCACCCAGGCCACCAGAACAGGGCTGCAGACTTGAAAGCCTCCACTGGGTGGCACCAGATAACCGTCACCTGGGCCCAGCCATGAAGGTCTCCCAGGGCTGTGAGGAGGAGAGGCAGGCACTCTAGGGGCTGCTGGACACCCAGCCATGACAGGGCACGGTGGGGACACATTCCTGGTTTCCATGGAGATTAGCTATGCTCCCACCCCGACCACCTCCAACAGTCCTGATTCCTCATTTACCTGATTCACTTGTTCAAGGAGAGGCAGCTACCACGTAGCAGAAAAAGAACACAACAGGGGTTTGAACAAGCCACTTACAGACCCCAGCCCTGCATCTCAGATGGCCATGTGTTCATTCGCTCATTCATTCTTTCTTCCAGTATTAAGTCATAACTGTTATTAATTATAACTGACAGCCTGGGGTAGTGTGAGTAAATACCATGCAGACTCGAGAGAACTGAATAGACTTTGAGGATCATCTGCTGGGAGCACTCTGTAAATATCAAACCATCGGATCCTATTTCCATGATTGGCCTCTAGCACCTTTGTGGACAGCCAGCTCCGTGGGCTCACGAGCCCTTTCACAGACTAAGAGAACAATATGCTACCTTCCTCTGGAAACCTGTGAACAAATGCATATTTGCTCTCTCCACATACTGCATTATTTATTTTTGTCACTTTGATGACAGCTCCACTCTCAGTGTTATCATCCAGAAAGAACATACTCAGCGCTAACTGTCCTGAAGCAGTCACTGCTCGCCCAGGCCTGGCTCGCCAGCACACGCCTTCCCTGCATCCCCCATACCAGTAATACCAGTACCTCGCTTCTAAATTCTTTTTTTTTTTAATAATGCTCATTGTATCTGCCTTCTATAAAAGAAAAATGTGTCCATTTTAGGAAATTTGAAAAATACTGAAAAGTATATTTAAAAAAATTACCTTAGACTAAGGTTGCTCAGCCTCAGCACAATTCATCTTTTCGAACTGGGTGATTCTTTGGTGATGGGGGCCGTTCTGTGCATTGTGGGATGGTTAGTAACAGCCTTGACCTTACTCATTAGAAGCCAGCAGCGCCCCCTCTCCAGGAGTGATAATCCCAATGTCCCCAAACACTGCCAAATGTCCCCTGATTGAGAATCAGTCTCGGATGCAGACTGAACCACCATCACTGTCCTGGATTATTTTCCTCTCAGTCATTTGTCTTCACAGATGTGTAGATGTCCCCCTCCCAGATTAGACAAATTGTATATGCAGTTTGTTTTCTGCCTTTCCCACTCAATATTATGTTCCCAGCATGTTCCTAAATCATTACATTTTCTTCAGACGAATGCTATGTATTAGCTGCATGATATCACTGGCTGGCTGGATGTTTGGTGCCGTAATCCATTTTACCCATCCCCTGTTGCTGGACAGTCAGGTTGGGTCCAATGTTGCAGTGCTGGAAATACTGCTTGAGTGAGCAGCTTCACACATAAATCAGAATCCCTGAGTATATGCCAAAAACAGATATTGGAAGGGAGATTCCTGGGTCAAAGGCCTATGGCACACACTGTCAAATGGCTTCTGAAAAGATTCTATCATCAGTATATATTTTGAGTAACAACTTCATAGTGTTTTGGGGGTGGGGAGAGCCATGTTCTATCAGGAAAGGAAGGGAAATGATGGCGGGGGGAGGGGGTGAGTGGGGGGCGGCACCAGCTTTTTCAGTTGTTGACAAACCACAGCAGAACTTAGGCTGATGCCTTCAGAAAACATTCTGTGATCAGGTGGTAAATAAGCTTCATTTCAAACAGGCTGACAGGGGCTGTGGTGGGAAGGCTACCTGGGGCTCAGCAGGAAACACACAAGGCCAGGGCTATGACGTGTGCCACAAGGAAGAGTGAGGGACGGAAGAACACACACACACACACACACACTCATACACACACACACACACACACACACACACACACACACACACACACACTCTGTGCACCATCGACTGGGCTTCCATTCTTGCTGCCCAAGACACATCCCCCCGCCAGCAGCACCACCTGGGTGCTGGTGGGAAACAGCGCCTCGGGCTCCTTCCTACACCTCCTGAATCAGAATCTACCCTCTAACAGGAGGCCCGGTGATTCTTAAATCCATCCAAATGTAAGAAGCCGTAGCCCACCCAGATGTCCACATTCTTTTCCTGAGTCTTAACTGAGCTGAACCTGAGCCCAGTGCTCAGCTTCCTAAGACAACAATTATGTTTCTGAAAATTGGCATTCTTGCCTGCCTTAAAAGCTGAGTGTCACATTTTAGCCAACTGTAGTAACAGATCCCAAGGTCTTTCTTTCAGTGCCTGGCACGTACTACCCACTGTTGTTGATAACAAGTAGCTGTTGTTAGCAGCAGCAGCAGCAGCAGCAGCACTGTGGGGCCTGGCATTTTCATTCCTGGAATGGGATGGTGGAGTTTGGAGGCTTCAGGGAGACCACCTTCTTGATCATTTATGGACAGACTAAATAAGACTAGTCCTCCATTGCTTCGTTGCAGCTTAACGCCACCGAGAACCATGGGGCTTGGCATCAAGGTTCAGTCTGAACATTAGCAATCACGTCAACCTGCACAAGGCACTTAACACTGAGGTCTGGGCCTCAGTGACCCCATCTGCAGCCCAGGAATGGTACTGACACCTACCTCCTGCGTTTACACAAGGGTCAACGGAGATGATGAATGCAAAAGCAGTTTCGGAATCTTAAAACATACTCCCATATCTTTCCATCCTATCGCTGACTATGCTAGATTATTAAATATGATCAAACATTTTACAAAATCCCATCCTGGGTGAAGTCTAGGGGTGAGAAGGGGGCGTGGAGAAAAGGAAAATGGACTGGCCCCCTCCATATTCTTAAAGTCACGGGAAACCTAGGCTCTAGGTATCAGGAATGCAGACAGCAGGACGGAACCCTCCACCGTAACAACATTTATAACCCTGTCACCATCTCCCCACTCCAAACCCCTCTCAACTTTTGGAGGAAATCAAACAAACCACATTATCCACTGTCCCCCTATCCAGGTACATTGGAATGACCCAGATAGACCAACCACTTTCTACTAGGGGCAGAAGTGGGCTGTAGCCATCTGGACCCTCAGGATGTACCCATCTTAATGACACCTCCCTGGACCTGCATAAATGCTTCCCCCTACCTCCCATAACAGGACCCCTTACCTGGGGATCACCGGTGGACTTTCGGACACTCATGTGGGCAGTCTCAGGAGGGTGCGCTGGGGTCCCTGATGCGTGGTATCCATTCACTGTGGGTACAGAAAGATTGCTCAGATGCCATACTGACCACAGATGGGCACCTCTGACTTTCTGCAATTGCTGCCTCATCTCCCACCTCACTGCCTGGTTCTCAGAGGTCTTGTGCAGCTAGGACCATCTTTCAGGAGCTTACCATTATTTACGGAGCTGAAAATGGGTTGAGAGCATCTCTCTAAATCCCCAGGACCCAAGTACTGAACTCTTGGGGGGGACGAGTTTCTTTTGGAACCAGAGGAGAAAAGGAGTGTGCTTATAGAAGATCAGGTCATGACAGTCCAATGGCCATCCCTGAAAATGCCACATCAGTTATGGTCATGGGTGCTGATCAAGATCCAAGCTCTCTCTCTCTCTCTCTCTCTCTCTCTCTCTCTCTCTCTGGAGTGAGGAAGCCCTGCCAGCACCTTCCTGCAATTCCCTGCTGATAAACTTCTCTCTGAGGACCTTTCTGCCTTCACCCTTACAGCAGTGTGATGTGGGTGTAATGGAAAGAGGACTGTGCTTACTGGTTTCCATGACATTTGGCTTTGCCAATTAATAGCCAGGTGATCATATGCCATCCTTCTTGAGTTGGTTTTCCCCCCAAAAAAGTCAAGCCTCTATACTCCCATCGTAGATGATTTGAAGCCCCCAACACCATCGCATGCTCCTGACATCACAAATGCACACTGCAGCCCATGCAATCCCAGCTCCCAGAGGTGCTGCTGCTCTCTCGCGGGTACAGTAACATGAGCTTAAGGAGTGGTTCCTCCTCCATAAGCCTCAGCTTCTGTAGCTGTAAAATGGGGATAATTCTACCCAGTCTCCAAACCTACTTTGTTAGTATGAAAATCAAATGAGAAATACTTGCAACAGGGGTCTGTAAGTTACGAAGGACTTAATGAAAATGAGAGGGGAGGGATGGAAGGAGGGAGGGTCACTGTTTTTGCTCCTTAAAACTAGACGCCTTGAACCCCAAGCCTGCATGATCTCTGGACACCAGGAAAGCATGCCTTCCTCATGCTCAGGCTTGGAGGAATCGCCACAACATATATACTGTGCAGGTCGAACTGTAGAAAGATGCACAAGCTGATGTCCAACTCACGGTTCTTGTTGAGAGAGCTCTGCAGCGAGGCAGGAAGCAAAGGGGAGAATGACTGAAAGTCAGTAATACCTACTCATGGGGAGTGGCAAGGGCTGGTGGCAAGCAACGAGGGATGAAGGCCACCCATGGAGAACCTTTCTCCCTTTCTCATGCTGTGGGGTGCCCCCCATCATCCACTGTTTGCAGTGAAAAATCCAGGGCCACCTGCAAGCAGAGTCACACTCAGCAGGTTCCTGCGGGCAGCTGGGCTGCTCCCTGGTCTACAGGCTTGGCCCGGTGCTCTGGAAGAAGGGTGGGCACAGACACACCAGGACAACAGAGAACTGGGCACTGAGCTGGTCCCCAGGGCAGTGTCTTGGGGAAGGAACAAGAAATAACAAATTAACCCCACGTGGCCAGCCATGGTCCTGGTCTACACTCACGCCCTTCAGGCGCTGGTCAAATGCTGGTATTATCCATGAGCCACCCAGGTAAAGAGGCGGGTGGGGGGCCAGGATTCCAAGAGCTTCAGAGAATGGGGGCAAAGAGGAAAGGGAAAAAGACAATCTACTCATATCAGCATAAGCTATGCCAGCAAGCGCATTAGACTGATGTTAAATATAACCCACAATGAAGGCATAACATTGGGGAAATTTTACGTATCCAGCAGCATTGCACTGAAATAGAAAAAACACAAATGCTGGGGAATCTAAAGAGAATAGTAGAAAACCTTAATAGACCGCTTTCTGTCTATGACTGATTAGTGGACCAAAGTGCGGATGTGGAAAATCTCGGTAATTTAATTTAAAAGGCTGATTGAACTAGATGTATGAAACATGATACCCTAACAACGATAATATCTTTTGCCAAGAAGCCATGGAACGTAACAACAACAACAAAAAGGTTGGGCATATTTTAAGCCACAAATAATCAATAAATTGCAAAGGGCATAAATAACACAAGCCACATTCTTTGACCAGAAAGCAATAAAAGCAGATATTAATAATAAAAGAACAAACATACAAGACTCCCATCCCCCCAACTCCCCAATGCCTGGAAATTTAAGAAAATGCTTTCTTAAATAATCTCAGGTCAAAGAGGAATTTAAAACACTAATTACACAATATTTAGCAGATAACGAGGAAGAACGTATCAAAAACAAGTGGGACAAGGCCTGAATTATATTTTGAGGGAAATCTAGAGCCTTAATTATTTCACTACCAAAGCCGAGGAGAAATAAAAATGGGCTAAACATTTGATTTAAGAATTTAGAAAAAAATTCAAAAGCCAATAAAATAAGCCAAAGGAAAACATGAGAGAGAAATATAAATATGGCAGTAGAAATTGATGAGTTAGGAGATAGGATAACATAGCAATCCTCGTGGTGCCTCTTTTGGGGGGGAGGGGAGATGGGAATCCCAATTCAAAAGCAGATCAGTTTGCATAATTTGAAACTGAAAGAGAACATAAATGCTCAGAATTGAGAATGAGAAAGAAAATATAAGCACAACCAATACTGTAGAGATGTTAAAAAATGCAATGGCATATGATTTATGATTCTATGTTAATAAATACAAAACATAAGGTTGAAATTATCAAAACAGTTTCAAAGGATACTAGAAACACCAAAATGAGTAAAACCTTTTCAAAATGACCTCCGTCCCAAAGGCACTGGACCCAGATGGTTGTATGGGCAAATTTGTTTAAACTCTCAACAAAGAAATACTTAGGCACAAACTGCACCATAGCATAGAAACTTGTGGTTAGTTTCCCAGTATAGCAAAGCCAACATTACCCTGATCTGAAAAATCTACCAACGACAACAGAAAACAGAACCACAGTTCAGTTTGACTATGAAAACAAAATATGTAAGTTCTTACCTGAGCAGGCCTTAGTTTGGAATCAGTCACTACCTTTGAAGGTGTTGGGTCCCTGTAAACAAAGGTTGTCCCCAACTCCTTGACGGCAGAGGCTGCCCTTCTGACCTCATACTTAACTCCCTTCACAGCACCTCAAAAGTACACCCTGAATATCCTGCTCTCTTTCTTCGGCTTCCAGCATCCCCCAGGCTCACAGCCCGCCTCGCTAGTGGCAGCCAGGAATTGTCTAATGCAGGGGCATTTTCCCCCTAATCCACTCTCTTGTTCTCACTTCAGTTCTGGTCAGCTGTTGGCTAATTACTGCTCATGTCAAAACAATTACTGGGAAAGAAAAAAAAGAAAATTTTCCATTCAACCATTTCCCCCCACACAGCAGCTTTCCTCTGACACCCTGTCTTGCTGCATTTCACCCTCACAGTCGCAGACACATTCAGAAAAGTGATCAGTGGAGATCTGAACAGTTACGGCTCACCCACAAGCATTCTTAATTGGCATTCCCAGTCCTCTGGGCTCCCAGCTTGCCAAGGGTTAGATGCAAAACAAATGAGGCCAGAAGTGGGTGCTTTTGAGGCCGCAGGCTTGCAGGGGGAAAAAAATAAAATAAAATTGATCAAGAATTACTCATAACTATCAGGAACATAATTCAGTTTGGGGCTATAAGAAAAAATGTAAGATGCTGAATCCAGCTGTTTTTAAGACACGAAAAGGGAACAAAATTCCATCTAGTAACGTTAGTAACTTCAGATACAAATATAAACACACACATGCACACATTTCATTCCTCTTTATGGGAAGTTACACAGATAGACAGGGAGAGGGCCTGGGGGATGTGTGAGAGGAGGGGGCAGAATTTGGATAGAAAGGAGAAGAAGGCTTTCAGAGGCTGGGGGGAGAGGGAAGTAGATAAAAACAGGAACGCACAAGAGCTGTCGAGAGAGATGAAACGACCAAGAAGAGCCAGTGACTCTGCTGCCCAGAGTTCACCCTGCGGTAGCTCTGCTCTCACTTCCCAGCTCCAAGCCCCCCATGGAAAGTTCCATCCCCCAAGCCCTGCTGCCCAGGTTTCCCTTCCTAAGGAGCCCCAAAGAATAGACATACTCTTCTAAACAAGAAAGCCAGCGCTGCACACGCCCCTCCTGCTCTCCTGCCTCCTGTAGGTCTGGCCCAGTCTCCCTTGTCTCTGGAATAAACACAGGAGCTGCTTTCCTGGGCGCCCAGAGGCGTTGTTCCTTCCTCCCTCAGTGCCTCGCAGACCCTTCCTAGCCCCTCCCCCAAGGCCCTGGAAGTTGCTCTTCCATCTTCCAGCATTGTACTCACCTTCTCAGGAGTAAGCAGTATCTACCCAGATCTGTTTAGAGCAGTTTTACATTTATAGCCTTCTGGTCTACCT